GAAAAAGAGGAAAAAGCACAAATTTTTAAAATGGTAGAATAACACCCAAAGGAAAAACTAAATTAGAGAAGATACTGCAGATGTCCAGAAGAAAGTTCGCACTGGATATAGGCCTAGCTGCCCATTAATGGATCTCTTGCGGGTCTACAGATGTCTTTACTAGATAATCAAATGGATATTATTGTTCTGATATCAGATTGGAGTCCAGTTGGTATATTAGTTTAATAGAATTACAAAGAGAAATAAATCAATAATGCAGTAACAAAACCTCCATTATATACTGCATGAGGGAAGTAGACATAATTACTACGAAAATCTTAATGAGAAAGCAAGATTTATTGCTTTTGACCTCAACCTTTCCAACCCAAGGAAAAAATGCATTACTTATATAAGATTATGGTACAAGGGTTGGAATGGGGTTAAGGCAGGAGTAGGCAATCTTGGCTCTTTTATGACTCATGGAGTTCAACTCCCAGAATTCCTGAGCCAGCATGGCTCAGCTTGGAAACCTCTCCCTTTCCCCTCAGCATGGCTGGCTCAGGAATTCTGGGAGTTGAAGTCCACGAGTCATAAGCCAAGGTTGCCTACTCCTGGGTTAAGGGGATGCACTCAGTATTTACTTAATTTACATTTTAAACTCCACATACACCCCACCCCGACCCCAGTTCCAAGAAAAAAATATTTCCAAGAAAAAAACTCCTTCTGATATTAAGGACATCAGACAGGAAAACAAACCCTTTTATTTATATTTATTGACTTTTTATATGGTAAAAGCTAAACTAAAAAGAAAAGAAAAAAGGGCAAGAAAAAAGAAAAAGGAAACTAAGAAATATATAAGTGATTTCCGGCCTTCTTTTCAACAGTTGGGGGGGACCTTGGAGGTCTTCTAGTCCAACCCTCTGCTCAAACAGGAAATCCTATACTATTTCAGACAAATGGTTGTCCAATCACTTCTTTAAAACCTCCAATGTTGGAGTCTCTACAACTTCTGGAGGCTAGTTGTTTCACTGATTAATTGTTCTTACTGTCAGGAAATTTCTCCTTAGTTCTAGATAATTACATTCCTATTGTTTCTCTCTCATCTGTTTTACAAATACCTCACATCAAATCCAAAAATCCTCAATTCAATTTTTTTCTTCCTTCAGGAAAAAAAACCCTATAAGATTTCCAGTTTCTGTTGTTTGCATGCAGCCCGGAAAACAAATCCTGAGCACTCTTTGTAATACATATTTATTTAAATAATCCATTCCAATCAAATCTGCTCTCCCTTTTCATTTTACTTGGTCTTCCAGTAATCTATATATATATATATCATCTGTCTCAGTTATAAAGTGAATATTATAATGAAAACATATCACAGATCATCTGCTGCAGTTGAACTACGTGCATAAATGCACTCGAAGTTATAGCCCTATTACAATATCCACTTTCTAAAACCACCAATGCCAACAGAATCAACCAAGCTTTAATAAAAAAACCCCTTCTATTTCTGTAATAATGGAATTGCTTAAAATGCCTTGTGGAATGAAAGGGGCTAAAGATGTTTTTTTAATAAAAGAGGGCTATTTTTAGATAGCTATAGTGCTCTATTTGAAAGAAAACATAATAAATATTGCCTGTACACCTTTGGGGAATTCTGTATGCCGCATAAACTTAATTTATATTTCTGAAGCATTTAAAACAACTCTCAGCCAAGAACAGAACATTGTTGGATTCTTCTTCCTCTTCCTCTTCCTCTTCCTCTTCCTCTTCCTCCTCCTCCTCCTCCTCCTCCTCCCCCCAGATATTAGCCAGGTATAGCAGTATTTATACAATGTAAACCAGTCACTATCAACACTAATAATAAGATAGTCAACTTAAACCATTACAGATAAAGAAAAGTTAATATCAAAGTTAACTATAATTCTGAGAAGTTAATGAACATAAAATTGCTTGAATTGTACAGTTGAAGCTAAGTAAGCCATAAAATATTGGGAAGACTGCCTATTTTGACTCCTAATACAGCTGTCACTGGGAGAGCATATAAAAATAAAGAGGTTGCCAGGCCACATACATGATGTGGCTAGAATCAAGGAAGGGAGACCTTCCTGATGCAAACTCAGCATTTAAAACCTGACCAAAGCAAAATAAAATCGGATCTTATGCAGGAAATGACTTTTAACAGATGAATTTTCCCCTCTCCTCTGAAGCTGTATCATTCCTACTTAGGATTATTAAATTTATTTATTTAATGTAATTTAACTGTTTAATTTTATCACTCGTCAACAAAAAAGTATAATTTCAGAAGAACTGGAAAATCAAAAACTCCTAGATTAAGTTGAAAAGGGTCCACTCTGACTTGATAATCTAAAAACCCCAATTTTAGGGATCTTAGTTTTCAAAATCTAGAAAGATATAAATAACACTGACCCTTTGTTGCCCTTTACGCAGATGGCCTAATTTAATACAGAACACTGCCCTTTTGTCCAATAATAGGAACAAAAACATTTCAAATTGCCCCAAACTGAATTACAGCTTTTCTTTTTCAAAAATGATGTTATTTGAGTTTGCAGGCTGTTTCTGATAAACTATTGTTGCTATAGACACTCAGTCTGGGGTCAACTTTGTGCAATCATAGAGTTCATTTTCCAACAATTCTTCTATTGTCTGGCTGAATTATTGGATTGCACTTTCACTTTTGCTCAGTAATACAGGTGCAAAACATTTCATTTACAGAACCTGTTCCGTCTACCATGCCAGCAAGCCGAGTAGTTTAAAAATCTTTTGATTGAGTCCTTCTTGAGTGCCTCCAAACCTGACACCTTAGATATAAGTGTTGGGGCTACACAAATTCTTCACTAGAATATTAAGAATTTTGGGTCCTGTGGTTCCAACGGCGTTGGGGAGATGCCAAGGAAAACCTATTGCTAACATTATTCATTTCTAAGGACAAACATCTTGTTTCATCACTTTCCTGCTAGACTACTGCAATGCATTCTCCATGAGTCTGCCTTTGAAGACTACTCAAAAACTGCAATTGGTCTAAAAGGCTGCAGTCCATTTTCTTTTCTCCGGGGGGGGGGCGCTCTGTTTTTCTCAATTTCAACAGCTTTAAGATGTGTGGGAGTAAGATTTCTGGAGATTTAAGTCCACATCTTAAAGCTGCTCTATTGTTCTGGTCAATTTCCCTTGGAATGATGGCTTGTATCATCCCTTTTAATGTCCCAGAAGGTGGATCTTCTCTATACAACATTTGACCAATTATTGCTGTTTTTAATTTCAATTTAACTGTTCTGTTTAGTCAATATTGCTTTCATTATTTCAATATTACTTCATATTTTATATATTGTATATTGCTTTGAGGATTAATCCATTTTCTGGGTTTGCCCAGTGTGCCCAATCATAAACTGACAAAAGTTTCTATATGGTTTGTAAATATGTATGTAGTTTTTATATACATTAGGACATGTATATAAATTAGCGCATGTCAAGCTACAAAAGCTAAGGTTAACTGTAAATCAGGGCTTTTTTTGTCATAGAACACCCAGAACGGAGTTCCAGCACCTTTTTGGGATGGAACCTTGTAGGGTAGGTAAGGCGGGTTGTATGACATGTGTGAGTTCTGGCACCTTTTTTTTTTTTTAACAAAAAAAGCACTGACTGTAGTCAAGTTCATTATACTGGATGTGTAATAGCCACAAGGTCTTTATCTAACCTTTAGCATAAGATATACAAAACCAGTGTACAGTAGTGGCCAAAATTGTGGAAACCTTTTTGGGAAAAGTGTATTTTTGAGGTTTGATGGCTAATAACACCATGTTTTTTTGGAGTAGTACCATAAAATTATATATCAATGGAAAGATAATTTAATCAAGAATGTAATGCAACATAGTTTGTTCAATTATCTGTACTGTATTCTATGAAAGGTTATAGCCAAATAACCCGAAAAAGGAAGCACAACTTGCTTAGATTGGTATCAGGTAGCTTTCCTTCATCTGATTGTAGCCAATGAGCATGAGTGTTTAGAGAGCCAATCAGGTGTCATCTTGTTTTGGCCATGAGCCAATCAGATCACAGTAGGATTCAGTTATTGATGTCATGTATTGAAGCTGAGAGGAGGACATTGGTCAATGTGTTATGTGATCACTATCAAGTTGGTTGGTTTTTTTGTGTTCTTTCATTTAGTGAGCTTGTAAAACGTAATAAAATTAAAGTAATTGTGCAAAGAATTGACTCGCCCAGAAAGCGATGTAAAATAGTATTATTAAGTGAACAAGGCTACAGTTATAAAGAAATTAGAAGAAAAATTGGTGGAAACTCAACCAAAGGTGGCATTTCTACTGTACACTTTTCCCAAAAGGTTTCCACAATTTTGGCCACTACTGTAACTTAGAGAGTAATGGTTTCTGAGTAAAGGTCATTTTGCATCCATTGGTCTTGTTAAATAAATTTGAGACTCTTTATTTACTAATAAATTAAATCAAGTGCTGCCTAAATGAATATAATTTATAATGTATGATTTCGTGCAAAGCTATAGCAGAGAAGCTTCCAGTACTATTGGGTTTGCTTTAAGACATACTGTAGGTGGATGTCACTGTGTGGGTGAATATAGTTCTTAGCATATATGTGTGCTAAAGTTCCTTGAGAAACTGCACATTTGAGTTCTGGCAGATATGCAAGTCAACATCACGCTTCTTGGGAATGGTAGAAGCCACAACCCGAAAGCCCTTAGTACGCTTGCTCAACTCCGGTTTTGCTTTTTTTTTTTTTAGCGGGAAGCCTGACATCACTAATACAAGACGGCGGAGACGAAGGTGCGCTTGCGCATCTCTCGCATATGGCCTTTGGTGACCCGCACCTGTGTCCTAACGGGGGGAGGGAGGAGCTGCAGTTCCACACATGCGCACCTCTAGATTGTAAACCGGGCCTGGTTTTTTTTTCTAGGTGACGTCAGTGCAGTAGATGACATAATTTATGGCGTGATACGTCAGGACGCTAGCTTCTGGTTTCCGTCCGGCCCGCGGGGCGTTCTCTATGGTGCGCTAGCTCCCCTAGAGTGCCTCGTATCCTTCCGGAGGAGTTGGCCCCGCCTTCGGGGCGAGGATAAAGACTGGTTTTGGCGGGAATTGCAAGGTAAGGCGCGCTGAGGGAGAATCCGCCAAAGATTCGGAAGTGGTTCTCGGGGAGCGGCTGGGGACGATGGGCTCCGGTATTTTGTCTTCCCCGCGTGCATTTTTAAATTAGAAACGGGCCCACCGCTGTGGACTCGACCACTCTCTGTCTCGGGGCCTGTTCTTTGGGGTGGCTCCGCCCCCGCCCCGCCCCTTCTGTCCTTCCAGGGAAGTCCCTGGAGAAGGACTCGTTCACACAACACGATACACGCGTGCAACGTGGGGGGGGGGAAGATTCTGCGAAGCCTTAATGGTAGCTGGTTCACACAAGTGGCTAGGAAGAAGGCCACGAGGTGCTCAACCCCAGTGGCCTGTTGTGTGAACAGGCCTTTTGATTAAATAAGAGGCAGGTGGGAAAGCGTAAGACGCGTTTGTTCTGTGAGGAGACCCGAGTGAGAGACCAGGATGAAACCGGTAGCACCTTTTCTGACGGATTTTGTGAGCTGCACGGGTTTAACAGGCAGAGGTATTTGGCCCAAAGTGACTTCATTTGCCCTGCTTTTACCCCCTTGAAGTCCCTCCTGGTGCAGATTTCAAGCGACCATTTTGGAAAAAAAGACACTTCGGCTTGCATCAAGGAGTGAGATGTTGCTGAACCTAGAAGAATTCGGCCAGTTTCAAAAGGTTTCAACAAACATAATGGATGTTTCAATGTGTTGCGGATTGTTCATGGATAAATGACTCCAGATCTGCATCTGCCTAAGCTATCTGTCTTTTCCCACTTCTTCCCCATTTAAACCCTACATGAGTTTACCCACTCCATCAGTCTGATGAAGTGAGCTGCAACACACACACCCCTCATGTCTGTTAATAACATTTCTTTTTTTCTTTTTTATTGAAAATTTTTAAAAGTTTTACAATATAACTCCCCACCTCCCTCAAACCCCACCCTTCCCCACCCCCCTCCCTCNCTTCCCAGAGTTACACACAGGGTTTACAATACAATAATTATACTCTGTCTTACATTATATTACCCTTAAGTTAACAATTCTATAACATCCTTTAGCTCTCTCCTAAAGTAACATATTAAACATCATTATTACTAATTATATAATTTTAATAAAATAAACTACATTAACAATCTCAAATTTACTCAAAAACCAAATGAAACTTCTTAGTTCCATATTTATTCTCAATATAATCTATCCATCTTCTCCAAACCAATATATATCTTTCTCGTGAATAATCCTTCACATAGGCTGAAATCTTGGCCATTTCTGCTAAATTTGAAACTTTAAGTACCCATTCTTCTATAGTGGGCAAACAATCCGTTTTCCAACATTGAGCTACTAATAATCTTGCAGCAGTTATCAAATTCAGCATCAACATGATGCTGAACATTTCTTTTTTAAAAAATATATTTTATTAGATTTTATATGGGTAGGGAAAAGGTGGGGTCGGTGCGGGTACAGGAAAATCGGGATAAAGGGGACAGGGTGTGGATAACTACAGTAAATACATAATTCAGCGAACAAGCTGTCGTCCGGGTCTTCATATTGAATATTATTGTTTATATAATACTAGACATTTATAAGAATAAATCGGTATAGTTACAACTGACATTTGGTAAAACACTAATATTCCTTTAAATAATTAACATAGTTGAGAGCATAACAACTATTTCCAATCATCAACCTTAATACTTAATATAATAAAGCTCTAAAATCTCTTCTTATTCTAACGTGTATCAACCCACTGATAAAAATTTTCCCCAGGTTTTATAAAAGATTGAATCTTCTTTCTCCTTCATCTCTAACGTTAATCTGTCCATTTCTGCACAATCTAGGATGTCTGTTAATAACATTTCTTATTAGTCAGGAAAAGTGCTACCATATTTTGGATTTTTGGCTACTATACACTAACACGGTTTGCCTCCTACTACGGTATGTATTTGAACAGAGTGAAAGCAAGCTGGTTGAATTACATATGTCTTTGGGTTCATATCTTGGAATTCCGTGTATTTTTCTTTAAATGTTGTCAGGTTAGTGTGTGATGGTAATTGCCTGTCAAATGCATGGCCTATTGTTCTCTAAATGTGTATTAGAATATAGAGTAGTAGGCACTGATTTCTCTTGCTGGATAATGAATGTGATTCCCCAAAGGCCTTGGACAGTTGTTGAGTACACGGAGCAAAATGGAACCGTTGTGTTATAGGAGCAGTTGCAGTGCAGGTAGTCCTCGATTTAAAACCATTAGTTTAGTAACCATTCAAAGTTACAATAGCCCTGAAAAAAAATGATTTATGACCAGTCCTCACACAACTGTTACGGCATCTCCATGAACAAAATTTGGGGGCTGGGCAACCAGTATACATTTATGATGGTTGCAGCATCCTATTATCAGATAATCTCCATTTGCAACTTTCCCAGCAACTTCCGACAAGCAAGGTCAATGGCGGAAGCTGGATTTGCTTAATGACTGTGTGATTCACTTAACAACTACAGTGATTCTCATAACAACTATAGCAAAAGTTGTAAAATCAGGTGTGACTCACTTGAACAAGGCTTTGCTTAGCAACGGAAATTCTAGTCCCAATTGCGATTGTAAGTTGAAGACTACCTATACTTTAATTTTTCAAGGCAGACCAAGTAATACATGTCTAATCCTTTTCCATTCTTCCCATTACAGGTTGCTAGGGTGAAAAAAAGCAACAATGCAGGCATTTTTGAAAGGTCCAGTCAGTGCTAAACCTCTCTCTACTAAAGAACGGGGAGCCCCTGCAACTGCAGGAAGCAGTGGGGAGAGCAAGAAACTCAGACCCATTCCTTGGGTCGAAAAATAGTAAGAATTTTGCTCTGGTTTGGAATCTAAGTAATGTAATCACTGAGGATGAATGTGTAGACTGGAACTCCTGGGGAATGAGGATGTCTTGTCCAGGAGGTGTTTCAATTAGCTTTTTGATTGTAACCACCAGATCTGTCTGCTTTTTCTGTGTCTGTCTTTCATTGATCTTCTGCATTTAATTGGACTGCCTACTTATTGAGAAGGATATTCATGCTAGTCCAAAGTAAGGTTGGCCCATGTTTTTATTGTTAGGGGAATTTATTTATTAAATGTATATGCTATTCATTTCACCATCAAGTGACTCTAGGAAGCTAACCACAAGATAAAAATGATAATATAATATCATTAAACCAGTATTACCATTAAAATTAAGATAGCTAAGGAAGGGACCAATATACAGTGGGATGCAGGTGGAGTTGCTTGCAGAAGACTATAAGGGACTTTGTGAAAAAATGAGAGCCTGCAGTGATCTGCTTTGGTGCTTTGTGTTCATTTATTTCTGTTCAACAGAAAATATAAACCCTGAAACAGAGCCGATACAGTACAATATTCTGTTTCACTTCATCACCTTGTCTCATAGGAATAAAATTTTAAAATGTATTTAGACTCTTGCATTATTTCAGTCATTACCTGAAATGACACTACCATATATGCTCACTGGATCACCTAAGGAGATTGGAAAAGATAAGTTAATCCTTTATCTGATGATATGGAGACTAACCTAGTCTCTCCATCATGCGGTATTTTGCTGATGGCCTGCTTTTTTTTTTCACAGTGTGAAGGATAAATGATACCCTTATGTGTAATGATTGTTATTATAACACAATAGTTATATATTTGTACAATTTTGATTTTTTTTTCTTTGAATAATGTATCATTGATTGCCTTCATCTTATTAAGACCATTAATGGTTGGAATATAGATTCTGTTATTGTGGCAGCTACATGTTCAGACTTCTAAACAATAAAAGAGGTGCAAACTCTTTGATCTAAAGAATAAGAGTTGGAAGGGACCTTGGAGGTCTTCTAGTCTAATCCTCTGCTTAATCAGAAAACCCTATACGATTTCAGACAAATGGCTATCTAATCTTTTCTTGAAAATCTCCAGTGATAGAGCACTGAAGATACTGTAATCATTCCTTTTGATTTCTAAAGAGTAATTAGTACAGCATTTAATGCTGTGTTCATTTTTAAACATCTAGCCGTCCAAAATGCATGGATGATGTTGCGTTTCAAGAGGAAGTTGTGGCAGTACTGAAGAAATCCTTACAGGGAGTTGATGTGAGTGCTGCAGTCATTAAAATAATTATTTCATGTGGAAATTAAATGAAAATGGGAAAAATTTGTACCATTGCCCGCTCTTCATTGGTTTACAACTAATATCAAAATTCAAGTATACCCTTAACTCTTGAAAGACACTTATTGTGAATAAAGGAGCCAGCTTCCTGAATATTAAAGCAGCAGTGTCTTGTTTTTATCATACGGTAGTTACACTGCCATTGATACTGCATGTGCCGTTTGATAGTACAAGTAGTCCTCGACTTAGGATCACAATTGAGCCCAAAATTTCTGTTGCTAAGCAAGACAGTTGTTAAGTGAGTTTTGCTCCATTTTATGATCTTTCTTGCCACAGTTATTAAGTGAATCACCGCAGTTGTTAAGTTAGTAATATGGTTAAGTGACTCTGGCTTCCCCATTAACTTTGCTTGTTGGAAGGTTGCAAAAGGTGATCACATGACCCTGGCACACTGCAACTGTCATAAATATGCAGCAGTTGCCAAGTGTCTGAATTTTGATCATGTGACCACAGGGATGCTGCAACAGTTGTAAGTGTGAAAAAAATGGTCTTAACTCACTTTTTTCAGTGCCGTTGTAACTTTGATCACTAAATAAACACTTGTAAGTCGAGGACTACCTGTACTTCTTAAAAGCTTGGTTTACATATTGCAACGTATTAAAATTTGCAGCAGTTAAATTTCTAAATATACTTTGCAATCTACTTTATTGGAGTGGCTTATAGCTTCTGCTGTTAATGATGTCTTATGTCCCTCTTTATGTTTCTTAATACTTTTCTTTACAAAGCAACTTAGAGTAATTGTAAATTATATATATCAATAATTTTTAAAAATGCAGTTGCTTCTCCCTAAGCAACTAATATTTAAGAATATTAATTATTTGAAAAAATCTTATTGGCTCAGATTGAAAAAAGAACTAAGCAACTTGCTCTGCATGTTGAAAGGTTTCTGGTTCTAGTATCTTCTACAAAATACTAAGGGTTTTTTGTTTTTGTCTTTTTTGTTAACATGGTGGGGTTTTGAAAGCTCCCTTTGGTACTGTATAGGTATCTGATGCTCAAAGAAAAGACCATTAAACACAAACCTAAACAATATCTATTTGAGTCTTCACATTATCTTAAATGCCTTGCTTTCAATATTCAGACATGTTTTAATAACTGCATCTCTATTTTGTTGGAATGTACTTTCTATGTAGATTCCATAGTTCTCTAACATAGTTTTACCGTGTGAATTGTAATTTATAAATTTCCATGTATTTCTAATCTTTTCTTAATCTGAATAAGCTGCCTGCAGGTACATTAATTTTATTATTGGAAAGAATACAATACCATAGATGGGTCATATTACAACCCTGTTTAAATATGGCCATTAATTCTGCAATTCTTTTATACATTTCCCTGGAATTAAGTTTTGTTAAACCCACTGGCCTTTCTTTTCAGTAGGTTTAGAACAGGGCTCTTCAAACTTGGTCCTTTTATGACTTGTGGACTTCAACTCCCAGAATTCCTCAGCCAGGCACGCTGACTGAGGAATTCTGGGAGTTGGTCCACAAGTCATAAAAGGGCCAAGTTTGAAGACCCCTGAAATAGAACATAGCAACAGCGTTATAGACAAAATATACATGCAAATTGTAGAATTTTTCCCCTCTCTAATAATGTTTTTTCTTATAATTGTGATTGTTTGAAAAATAGGAAAGTATGTATTTACTAAATATCATATTTTTAAAATTTCTTTCTGTTGTAGCTTCCCAACCTCTTGTTCTATGGCCCTCCTGGAACTGGGAAAACATCTACTATTTTGGCAGCAGCTAGAGAACTCTTTGGGTAATATGGAGTTCAGTGAAATTGAATTTGACTCTATACGTGTGTTGTTCTACTCGTTAGTGTTTCTGGCATGAACATCTTGAAATTTTATANTATTTTTAAAATTTCTTTCTGTTGTAGCTTCCCAACCTCTTGTTCTATGGCCCTCCTGGAACTGGGAAAACATCTACTATTTTGGCAGCAGCTAGAGAACTCTTTGGGTAATATGGAGTTCAGTGAAATTGAATTTGACTCTATACGTGTGTTGTTCTACTCGTTAGTGTTTCTGGCATGAACATCTTGAAATTTTATAGCACAGTAAGAATGGGTTCTGTTCAGAAGAAAGAATAAAACACATACTGTATATTTGTAATGCTGATTGTTGGCCAGCTAAAGACTGAAGAATTCCTAAATGTGGACATGGATGCAAATACAATATCTAGGACAGTGATAGGAAAGTTACCACACATTGTTTTGGATTCCAGTATCATCAACCCCAACCTGTGTGTCAAATCTCCAGGGAAAATGGGATATGTTGTCCAAAACATGTTTCTCTGTCCTGTTTTTGAAACATACAAGGGAGTGTGAATTGTAACAGGCAGGACTAAATGCTGCAAGTTATTGTAGTAGGCAGATTTGGAATTTTGAGACCCTATTTTAGCAGTCTTGTGAAATAACTGCCTTGCTGAGCATAGGAGATTCTGCTTTATCAAAAGGCAGGGTGATCAGTTTGCTTCTCACCAGCTTCTCTAGTCCACCAGGACGATCTCTATCACCTCCATCTTTTTTCCTAGGGCATATTTCCAAAGAACCACTCCTATTTTATTTTTTAAATCCCATGAAGACTGTATGGATCCCCAAAGCATTGTTGGAAATTTAGATTAGGCTTGAATTTGATTATTTATTTGGGGAACGATGGCTCCCCGTGTATTATTTTCATTAAAGATTCCAAATAACTAATAAAATCAGGGGAGCATTAAGGGTGGTGTCTACAGAGCCCTTGATACATTTCTAGGCATTAAGTTGATCCAGAAGTAACCCAAAACTAGATTTGATGTGAAATGAGCAGAAAGGTATTTTGATGCTAACTGTTGTCAACTAAAATTTACATTCTTGTAATTGAGCTTTCCACAACTTGGGCTTCTAGATGTAGTAGGACTGCAAGTTCCAGAATTTCAGTCAGAAGCCATGCCCCCTGGGAAAATCTGGGCATTTGAATCCCAACGCATCTGGAAGGCACTATAATGGAGAAGTGTTGGCTCTTCAAGATAGACCAATAACAGGCACTGCTTGAACATTGGAATTCTATTGTTGTTATGGTTCATCTCAGATAGAAGTTCAGACTAGATTTGGCATTTTTACCCATCTATCAAATCCTTCCCAAGGACCTAGGATAGGCAGAAGTGGATGTTTCATGGTGTTAATGGTATCATCGCAGGATGTAAGCTGTTCCAAGTAAAATTGTCTTTTGCAATTGATTGATGGTGATTTTATCAGTGCCAATGGTGTTCAAGTTGTGCTCCAGATGTTTTGGGATTGCACCCAAAATGTCTGTTACTATTGCTACTACCTTTGCTTTCTTTTGCCACAGTCATTCTATTTCTATTTGCAGGTCTTTGTATTTTGTTATCTACTCTAATTCTTTCTCTTCTCTTCTGCTGTCTCCAAGTACTGCCATGCCCGCTATCTAGCCTTTTTTTCTTTCTTATCGACAGTTGTTGGAGTGTTATGTAGCAGGTACTTGTCTTTCTGAATTCTAAAGTCCCAGAGCAATTTAGCTTCTTCATTTTCTATTACTTCTTCTATTATTATAGAATGCAGTAACAGAATCTTGAAAGTTGGACAGATTCTCTCTCTTCCCCCTAAAGAGAATAAAAATGGGACAATCTTCAGTTTTTTTCTTCACTCCCTCCACTCTATCCAGGCTAAACTAATGTTTACATAAAAGTTGTAATGATAATAATAATAATAATAATAATAATAATAATAATAATAATAATAATAATAATAATAATAATGTTGGAAGGAACCTTGGAGGTCATCGAGTCCAACCCCCTGCTCAGGCAGGCAGGAAACCCTACACCATTTCAGACAGATGGCTGTCCAGTCTCTTAAAAACTTCCAGTGTTGGAGAATTCACCGCTTCTGGAGGCAGGTCGTTCCATTGGTTAATTGTTCTAACTGTCAGGAAGTTTCTCCTTAGTTCTAGGTTGCTTCTCTCCTTGATTAGTTTCCACCCGTTGCTTCTTGTCCTGCCTTCAGCTGCCTTGGAAAATAGCTTGACTCCCTCTTCTCTGTGGCAGCCCCTGAGATATTGGAACACTGCTATCCTGTCCCCCCTCGTCCTTCTCTCCATTAAACTAGACATACCCAATTCCAGCAACCGTTCCTCATATGTTTTAGCCTCCAGTCCCCTAATCATCTTTGTTGCTCTTCTCTGTACTCTTTCTAGAGTCTCAGCATTTTTTTACATCATGGTGACCAAAACTGGATGCAGTATTCCAAGTGTGGCCTTACCAAGGCATTGTAAAGTGGTATTAACACTTCACGTGATCTTGATTCTATCCCTCTGTTAATGCAGCCCAGCACTGAGTTGGCTTTTTTGGCAGCTGCAGCACACTGCTGGCTCATATTTAAATGATTGTCCACTAGGACTCCGAGGTCCCTCTCACAGTTACTACTATTGAGCAAGGTACCCCCTATACTATACCTGTGCATTTGGTTTTTCTTGCCTAAATGTAGAACCTTACTTTTTCACCATTGAATTTCATTTTGTTAGATAGCGCCCAGTGTTCAAGTCTGTCCAGGTCCTCCTGTATCCTAAGCCTGTCTTCTGGAGTGTTGGCTATTCCTGCCAGCTTGGTGTCATCTGCAAATTTGATGAGTTCCCCATCTATCCCCTCATCCCTGTACTCTACGGAAAGGATGCTATAGCGGTTGACTGTATTAGAATTCAAAATGTGGACCTGGATTAGCAGTTCTTCTTAAGAAATTTATTAAAAGATGTTTACATTTCTTTTGTTTTAAATAGTCCTGAATTGTTCCGGCAGAGGGTCCTTGAATTAAATGCATCTGATGAACCACCTTATGTTCAGTAAGCTCTGAAAGTCAAGACTTTTGCTCAATTAACAGTTTCGGGAAATCGTTCAGAGTAAGCGCTCTCGGATAGTATTTCACTCTATAACAGGTTAAGATGAGTTGCTTTGTAATGTTAAAATAAGCTATGAGTCAGCACTGCACTATGAGGCTCTCAAATGATGTCTTAGTGCAGGGGTAGTCAACCTTGGCTCTTTTATGACTCGTGGACTTCAACTCCCAGAATTCCTGAGCCAGCTAAGCTGGCTCAGGAATTCTGGGAATTGAAGTCCACGAGTCATAAAAAAGCCAAGGTTGACTACCCCTGTCTTAGTGAGTCATCTGAACTTTACTACGTATAATCTTAGGGAATTTATTATTCACTAACTACATATCTTTGCTAATGTCTCCGATAGACCATGTGTAGGCACTGTGAAATGTAATGTAATTTATTAAAATACTTCAATTAAGTCCTCCAGTTAATTGAAATAGCTTCAACTATCCCTTTGGGTAATCTCTCTTGCACTCTATTGATCAGATTTTGATAAGAAATAGATTAATTTCTTGATTCTCTTTTGAATACTCTATAGGCAGAAAGGAGAGAGACAAGCCATATGGAAAATTTAAAGCAGGAAAAGTACGAGTGTATTTGGCCTGTATTTTTCCTGCCTGTTTTTTTCTTTTTTTTTTCCTGGGACTTAGAGACAAATAACTACTTCAGCTAAAATCACATTCCTTTGGATTCTTAAATCCTCCTTTGAAAGGTGAAATTAACGCCTTAAGCTTCTGTAAAGCTCAAGGATGAGATGTTGTCCTTAAACTTACTTCATAAAAGGCCAAAAACTTTGGCCTTGTTAAGTAGGGACAAATTTGGGGAAGTCACAAAAATACCTGCAGTGTGTGAATGCCAGCACTTTCCATAAAGGAATCCATAGGAAATAAAAGCTCTAGCAGAAAATAATGTGGCCTCTTTCGAATAACAGTGAGACAGTTCCACAGTGCAACAATATTTAGTTAAGTTGGGGGAACAGAATGGGAAAAGTTCCAATTTAGAATTTTTCCCACTGTAGGCTCTGAATGGTAAGCAATGTTTACGTCAGAATGTGTTTGCCAGTAGACTGTTGACAGCAATGCTTTGTGCTAGCACCATAAATGGCTCACACGTGCTTTTGTGATTGTTTGTGTTTAGCGGCAGACCATGCCCGCCTTTTAAGATCATAATCCTGGATGAGGCAGATTCTATGACCTCGGCAGCTCAAGCAGCTTTAAGGCGCACTATGGAGAAGGAATCTAAGACCACACGATTCTGCCTTATCTGTAATTACATCAGCCGGTGTGTATAAATTACAGCGTGTGTTTGTATTTATTTACTCTTATGAAAAATACATTAGATAAATACACCTTTGAGTCCACTCACCTCTTGGTAGCATCATGGGTATATTTCTGAGATTCTTCTGGGGAATGTTATAGATGTTTTTATAACTCAGCCTGCTTTTGGCTGATTTTTCAGCCTCCCACTCTAGCCTTCAACCCTGGGATTTCCTGGTGTTTTCCCATCCAGATAATAACCAGATGTGACCATTCATAAATTCTGAGTCTATACTTGGTTATCTCAAAGAATGTATTTGAATTTTAAAGACAATTATGTTCTACTGTCGGGAAAAAATGAGTATGATAACAATGCTAATACGTGAAAATGTATATCCTGCCAACCTAGCAGTTTGAGAGCAAGCAAATGTAAGTAGATAAACAGGTACCACTTTGGTGGGAAGGTAACAGTGTTCTGTGCGCCTTTGCTGTATAATGATGTTGGCCACACGACCACAAAAAATGTCTTTGGACAATGCTGGCTCCCTTGACTAAGAAACAGAGATGAACACTGTGCCCTAGAGTCGGACACGACTGGGCAGGGAAACCTTTACCTTCGTAGGCTGTGGAAAGACACTATGTTGCATGAAAATAAGAACAGAGTCCTCCAGTTGCTGAGTTTCTCTTCCTGTCTTTGATAGAATCATTGAACCAATTACATCTCGATGCTCCAAATTTCGTTTCAAGCCACTTTCTGACAAAATCCAACGCCAGAGACTTCTAGACATTGCTCAAAAGGAAAATGTGATAATCAGCAATGAGGTAACATGCCAGTTAATTATAAAATTTTTGTGTCTTAATATTGTGAACAAAAGGTTTTATTTATTAATGATTTTTTGCCAGTAGAATAGGTAACGTTTGTGAATGGAATATCCTGTCCTCCCGAAGGGTTCCTGCACCCAGCTTAGAGCTGCAGCACAGAACTGGAGGATCCCCTTGGACAGGGGAAAAGAAACCTCTGCTGTATAAAGTTTAATTGTATGTTCCTTCCTCTGAGAAGCAGACTTAGAATAGCCTTTCCAAAACGGGATCTCTAATTTCATTGATACTAACTCCAAATTGCCAGGATTGGGAAGATGGAACTTAAATGCAATACTTGGAGATTGTACATAAACATTTGGATTTCACACTCCAATCACTGAAGTTCAATAGAAGTTTAACATGCCCTCCCCACTCATGCTTCCAAAAGAAATGCATTACCTGCATTAATGAGGATTGAACTATCTGTGGCTAAATGAAACCCTTCCTTCCTTCCTTTCTCCCTCCCTCCCTCCCTCCCTCCCTGCCTGCCTGCCTGCCTGCCTGCCTGCCTGCCTGCCTGCCTAAAAACAACAACAAATATACAATCCAGATTAAAAACAGCAATAAACTGAAGGAAGATCCAGTCAAGCAAACATATCACACACCCAATAAGGGCCGCCGAACCTTAGCCCAAAGCCTGGGACATCAGTCAAGTCTTTTAAGACCCACCAGAATGCCATAAGGGTGGTAAGCACCTGGATCTCAAGGGGAACCTCCCTTCAGTGGGCAAACACTGAATCAAAGAAGGCACACTTCCAGGGTCCTGATAGATGGATTGTGTCTCAAAGGAATTTGGAGCATGCTAACTGTTGGAATCAACCAGACACCACAGGAAATAGGCAATTCATAAAGTAACCAGCCCCTATTCTATGTAGGACTTTATAGGTAATATCTAGTACTTAGAATTGCATCTGGAAGCCAACCTGGAAAGCAGTGCAGCTCGTGAAGCAGAAGTATCACATGGACATACTGAAATACGTCCATCACTGCCTATGTGGCTTCATTCTGGGCTAGTTGAAGCTTCCAGGTGATCTTGAAGCACAGCCCCCTGCAGCATGCATTGCAGTAGTCAAGCTATGAGATGACCAGGGCATGAGTTGACTGCTTGAAGTGCCTCTTGATTTAGGAAAGGACAATACAGGTGTACCTGATGAAGCTGTGCAAAGGCCTTCCTTGGTACAGCTTCCACCTGCTGATTGAGCAGGAGCTGATAGTGTAGGAAGACTCCTGAAGTGTGCATCACTTTCGAATGTGGATTTATTCTGCCATTCAAGGTTAAAAATAGAATATCCCCAAATCTAGGTGGCCCAAACATCCACAGTCACTCAATCTTGGTAGGATTGAGTTGATGGTTCCTCCCCCACCAAACCTGCACAGCCTCCAGACAACCTCAACAGTCCCACCTGACTAACTGAAACTGACTCCAAAGGAAGGAAAACCTCCATAAAACTGTGGTTTATTCCTAACCCCTGGTCTTATGAGCTGGCCCAAAAGGATACCACGATTGGCAATTTCAAAAGTTATTAAGACATCAAGGAGAATAACCATGGAAGCTCCACTCCCATCCTGGTTCCACCACAGATTGTTAACAAGCTACAAATTTAGTATAATATGATAAAAAGTGTGCTTTGCAAAATGGTATTCACTGTTTCCCTTTTCTCCATATGATTTCTTTTATTTTAAACTAGCTGTACCCGGCCACGCGTTGCTGTGGCTCAGTCTGGTTAAATGGAAAAGAAAGAAAAGAGAAAGCACACGTTTCTAATATGTTTAATTTCACAATGCTTGTGGGTATACAATATTTTTTGTTGTTCCATTGTCTGTGCATCAATTCCAACGCAATGTCACACGAAATAATTAAATCAAAATGAAAATAAATCGAAATCTATGAAAATTCAATTTAACAATGCAGTCGGAAACATTGAAATGGAATCGTAAAATTGGAAATTTGGAAATCGTAAATGGATCGTAAATCGGAAACATTGAAATGGAATGGTAAAATCGTAGCGTGTGTTGCTTTTACGTCCAACAGATGACGCTGTTTTTGAAAAAAAGCATGTTTTTACCTGTCACAGGTGTGACATCTATATAATATAGGTATATTAAAAACACGCGCGTATTCGAATGCAACGTTGTGTCAAAATTTCAAAGCAATCGAACTTTCAGAGATTTAAGATTTTGAACAAACGAACATTTACATTTTTATTTATATAGATATTTATTGTGCTATGTAGGCAATCGATTACCTTGTTCATGTGGCAGAAGGAGATTTGAGAAAAGCAATCACGCTTCTTCAGAGTGCGACGCGACTGACAGGCGGAAAAGAAGTGACAGAGAAAATTGTTATTGAAATTGCAGGGGTAAGCCTTGTTTCGAGATGATGTATTTGCTGTCGTAAAAGTGATGATTGAAAATTATGATTTTTCATTAAAGACATGGCTTCAGAAGCTGCACACATACTGTTAAAGACTTGCCTAGAATAATGCTCTGAGAGTTTCATGTGGGAGAGATACATTTTTTTCTTGCTATTATTTGTATTAAGAATTTTAATTGTAGTGGTAAAATCTAATGCGAACTAAACTTAGAGAAAAAGAAGAGAATAGGAAAAAAATGCAAGAAAGAAGAATACCGAATAAAGAAGAAGAAAATAATTATATGAAGAAGTGGCTTCCTACCTTCATCAGAAGTATAAACAAATTCTTTTATTTCAAGGAGGCTTAATCCTTAATCAAATATTATCATAGGATTGAATTTGTCTTCAATTCTTCTTTATTCTTTCATACCAATTTCTTCAAGGTTTATAAAAAATCTCTTGTAGATCTGTCAAAAAAATCACTTTTTAGGTCATTGTTTTGATTTATGACTTGTATTTCCTGTTTAATGTTTAATGCTTCAGCCAGGTCCTTTTCTACATATCCAATAACGTGGATATATAGAAAATTGGGAGTGTATGGGTGATCGGTATGGCATGAATGTGGTAGGGCTTTGGGTGGCTGCTTCAGGGCCCAGGAGGGTGTGTGCAGGGCAGGTGCAGTGGGGGTGGGGCTTGGGTTGCTGCTACTGGAGGGGGTGCGAAGGGCTGCATAAGTGTGGCAGGTGCAGAAGACTTACCAGAGTGAGTTGCAGTCTTCCCTGCTAGCTTCCCCATTGATTTTGCTTGTGGGATCTGGCAGGAAAGATTGCAAATGGTAATCACTTACCATGTGACACTTCGTCATAATTGTGAGGCAGTTGCCCGGTCACAATCACATGACCGCAAGGTTGCTGGGATAGCCAGAAATTCAAGGACCAGTTGTAAGTACCACTTATTCAGCACTGTTGTAGCAGAATAGCAATAGCACTTAGACTTATATACAGCTTCACAGTGCTTTACAGCCCTCTCTAAGCGGTTACAGAGTCAGCATTTTGCCCCGAATAATCTGGGTCCTCATTTTACCAACCTCGGAAGGATGGAAGGCTGAGTCAACCTTGAGCGGGTGAGAATCGAACTGCTGAACTGCAGGCAGTCAGCAGAAGCAGCCTGCAGTACTGCATTTTAACCACTGTGCCACCGTGGCTCAAATGGTGCTGGTCACGTGGTTATCAACTGTATAGGAACGATCGTGGTAGGTTGAAGAAGAAATTGAGATAAATGTTACAAATATTCGTGTAGCATAAGCTGGAAGATGCAGCGTCAAGTATGGCTAGGTGACGACTGTATGTGAATTGAATACAAATGTGAGTGACCAAGTAGAGAAGGCAGGGTATGGTACAGTGGTCTATGGATATGCTGGAAGCAAGGATGAAGAAGAATAGAAAAAATATGGATAGATAATAATAATAATAATAATAATAATAATAATAATAATAATAATAATAATAATAATAATAATAATAATAATAATAATAATAATAATAATAATAATAATAATGATAAAGTTGGAAGGGACCTCGGAGGTCATCTAGTCCAACCTCCTGCTCAGACAGGAAGCCCTATACCAGTGATGGCGAACCTTTTAGAGACCGAGTGCCCAAACTGCAACCCAAAACCCACTTATGCATCGTCGGGTGCCGGGTGGGTGTGGCCCATTGGCTGGGTGTGGCCCATTGGGTGGGCGTGGCTGCAGTGGTAATGGCAGACTGGGTGGGACTAAAAAGTTCAATCAATCAATTCCAACTTCGCAAGATATTTTTTTCTCCGCAAGAAGTTGAAATTGACTGATTGAACCTTTTTTTTTTGCACATGGCGGCGGAAGCCTAAAGCGAAAAGGTTTTATAAAACCCATCTGAAGGCCTAGGACTGGGGCAATGGCGCGCGTGCCCACAGAGAGGGCTCTGAGTGCCGCCTCTGGCACCCGTGCCATAGGTTCGCCACCACTGCCCTATACCATTTCGGACAAATGGCTGTCCAGTTTCTTCTTAAAAACTTCCAGTGTAGATTTAACCATGATTCCCTTTTGTTTTTCTCTTAAGCTCATGCCTTTGTTTTACTGTTACTTCCCCCCCCCCCATCTTCTGCCTAACATTGCTTGGAAAAACCTGGGGAGAAAAGACTATATTCCTTGTGACCTTAGGATTTTTGCCTGCATAGCTGCATTTTCTTATTGTCATGGTGATTAACATAAAAAGAAAAGGTTTTGTGTGATGTCAGATGGACAATGTATCTATGTTTATTATTACAACTTTATATTCTAGGTTGTCCCCAAAGAAATATTGGATGGACTGCTAAGTGCCTGTCAGAGTGGCTCTTTTGAAAAGCTGGAAGCTGTAACAAAGGTGTGCTCCTTAAGATTTGAAAGAGATAGCAAGTAGGATTTTGCATTATAGGACGCTCTTTTCGATGCTGGTAGGTGGTACGTAGTACAATTACGTAAACGCACTGAAACTAAAAACTGCCTGCCTTTAAGCTAATCTTGTGTCAATGTAACATGAACTGCCTGACATTTATTTGGCTTATGATCTTAGGTAGAAAAGCACTCCTAAGAGGAGAAGTGTAACTCCCTAGAGTTAATTTACTGTCTAGCTCACTTTGTACAGTAAGGATATGCTATTTTCNGGCTCAGTCTGGTTAAATGGAAAAGAAAGAAAAGAGAAAGCGCACATTTCTAATATGTTTAATTTCACAATGCTTGTGGGTATACAATATTTTTTGTTGTTCCATTGTCTGTGCATCAATTCCAACGCAATGTCACACGAAATAATTAAATCAAAATGAAAATAAATCGAAATCTATGAAAATTCAATTTAACAATGCAGTCGGAAACATTGAAATGGAATCGTAAAATTGGAAATTTGGAAATTGTAAATGGATCGTAAATCGGAAACATTGAAATGGAATGGTAAAATTGTAGCATGTGTTGCTTTTACGTCCAACAGATGACGCTGTTTTTCAAAAAAAGCATGTTTTTACCTGTCACAGGTGTGACATCTATATAATACAGGTATATAAAAACACGCGCGTATTCGAATGCAACGTTGTGTCAAAATTTCAAAGCAATCGGTGAAGAATTTTCGGAGATTTAAGATTTTGAACAAACGAACATTTACATTTTTATTTATATAGATATTTATTGTGCTATGTAGGCAATCGATTACCTTGTTCATGTGGCAGAAGGAGATTTGAGAAAAGCAATCACGCTTCTTCAGAGTGCGACGCGACTGACAGGCGGAAAAGAAGTGACAGAGAAAATTGTTATTGAAATTGCAGGGGTAAGCCTTGTTTCGAGATGATGTATTTGCTGTCGTAAAAGTGATGATTGAAAATTATGATTTTTCATTAAAGACTTGGCTTCAGAAGCTGCACACATACTGTTAAAGACTTGCCTAGAATAATGCTCTGAGAGTTTCATGTGGGAGAGATACATTTTTTTCTTGCTATTATTTGTGTTAAGAATTTTAATTGTAGTGGTAAAATCTAATGCGAGCTAAACTTAGAGAAAAAGAAGAGAATAGGAAAAAAATGCAAGAAAGAAGAATACCGAATAAAGAAGAAGAAAAGAATTATATGAAGAAGTGGCTTCCTACCTTCATCAGAAGTATAAACAAATTCTTTTATTTCAAGCAGGCTTAATCCTTAATCAAATATTGTCATAGGATTGAATTTCTCTTCAATTCTTCTTTATTCTTTCATACCAATTTCTTCAAGGTTTATAAAAAATCTCTTGTAGATCTGTCAAAAAATCACTTTTTAGGTCATTGTTTTGATTTATGACTTGTATTTCCTGTTTAATGTTTAATGCTTCAGCCAGGTCCTTTTCTACATATCCAATAACGTGGATATACAGAAAATTGGGAGTGTATGGGTGATCGGTATGGCATGAATGTGATGGGGCTTTGGGTGGCTGCTTCAGGGCCCAGGAGGGTGTGTGCAGGGCAGGTGCAGTGGGGGTGGGGCTTGGGTTGCTGCTACTGGAGGGGGTGCGAAGGGCTGCATAAGTGTGGCAGGTGCAGAAGACTTACCAGAGTGAGTTGCAGTCTTCCCTGCTAGCTTCCCCATTGATTTTGCTTGTGGGATCTGGCAGGAAAGATTGCAAATGGTAATCACTTACCATGTGACACTTCGTCATAATTGTGAGGCAGTTGCCCGGTCACAATCACATGACCGCAAGGGTGCTGGGATAGCCAGAAATTCAAGGACCAGTTGTAAGTACCACTTATTCAGCACTGTTGTAGCAGAATAGCAATAGCACTTAGACTTATATACAGCTTCACAGTGCTTTACAGCCCTCTCTGAGCGGTTTACAGAGTCAGCCTATTTGACCCCCAACAATCTGGGTCCTCGTATTACCAACCTCGGAAGGATGGAAGGCTGAGTCAACCTTGAGCCGGTGAGAATCGAACTGCTGAACTGCAGGCAGTCAGCAAAAGCAGCCTGCAGTACTGCATTTTAACCACTGTGCCACCGTGGCTCGAATGGTGCTGGTCACGTGGTTGTCAACTGTATAAGAATGATCGTGGTAGGTTGAAGATGAAATTGAGATAAATGTTACAAATATTCGTGTAGCATAAGCTGGAAGATGCAGCATCAAGTATGGCTAGGTGACGACTGTATGTGAATTGAATACAAATGTGAGTGACCAAGTAGAGAAGGCAGGGTTTGGTACAGTGGTCTATGGATATGCTGGAAGCAAGGATGAAGAAGAATAGAAAAAATATGGATAGATAAAGTGAATGGTTTGGTATAAAGTAGATTTAGCCATGGTTTCCTTTTCTTTTTCTCTTAAGCTCATGCCTTTGTCTTGCTGTTACTTTTTTTCCCTCTTCTGCCTAACATTGCTTGGAAAAACCTGGGGAGAAAAGACTATACTGCTTGTGACCTTAGGATTTTTGCCTGCATAGCTGCATTTTCTTATTGTCATAGTGATTAACATAAAAAGAAAAGGTTTTGTGTGATGTCAGATGGACAATGTATCTATGTTTATTACTACAACTTTATATTCTAGGTTGTCCCCAAAGAAATATTGGATGGACTGCTAAGTGCTTGTCAGAGTGGCTCTTTTGAAAAGCTGGAAGCTGTAACAAAGGTGTGCTCCTTAAGATTTGAAAGAGATAGCAAGTAGGATTTTGCATTATAGGACGCTCTTTTCGATGCTGGTAGGTGGTGGCATCATGTTAATGCATTTGCGTGACTTTGATTTTTGACGGACGGAAATTCGATTAGAACACAGTTACATTGTACTTGACGGACTGTAAATAAACCGAATACTAGAATCCATCTTTTCGTGAGGATTCTCCTCTTCACATTGAGGGATCTCAATTAAATGACAGATCGAGTGAAACATGTCATTCCTATACGATAAAAGAGCTTGATTAATGTTCAGCTTCAGTGTATCTTACATGAAAATTGGGACTCCTGTGTGATGCACTCCGGTGTTTCCTTCCATTAAGCCTCCCACTCTTATTTTGTTTTTCTCGTGGTCTACTTTAAAGAGCTATGATAAGACAAAAATAGAGAGGTGTCTCTATTTTCTCTCTTTCTCTCTCTCTCTGGCTATTTTCAGTGTCTCCACACAATCCAAATTCTCTTTGAAAGAAAAGCACAGCGTAGCCATAGTGGGCTTAGTGTGAGTAGGTATTTTTTTTGCCTGTATCGGGGTACAGGTAGTCCTCAACTTAATGACCGTTAAGTTACAAGGCCTGGAAAAAGGGACTTACGACTGTTTCTCACACTTAACGCCTATTGCAGCAATGACTGCTGCAGCTTCCCAGGTCACATGATCAAAATTCAGAGCTTGGCAACTGGTTCACATTTATGACCGTTGCAGTGTCCCGGGGTCATGTGATCTGCTTTTGTGACCTTCTGACAAGCAAAGCCAGTGAGGAAGCCAGATTCCACTTAGCAACCATGTCACTGGCTTAACAACTGCAGTGATTCACTTAACAACTGTGACAAAACAGATCGTAAAATGGGGCAAAACTCACTTAACAACTGCCTCTTAGCAATTAAGCTTAGCAACATGTATTTTGGGCTCAACTGTAGTCGTAAGGCGAGGACTGCCTGTATTCTGTAATCGTCATTAGTTTGTGTTCTGTAGAGTGAGTGTGCTTTTAGGAACCAATGTATTTAGCAATCAGGGTTGAAATCTCAAGTCAGTCAGTCAGTCAGTCAGTCATATATTTAGTTTCTTGGACAAATCTGTTTTGTGTTCATCCACTTACTTTTTTGTGAAATGGGATTTTGGAGTAGAAAACTTGGTTCAAAGGGGTAACATTGTGTTTTGGAGATTCATCTTTACCTTGGACACATATTTGGGGAATATATATTTTATTAAGCCTTCAGGAATTTGTTTTCTGAGAAATGGGTAGTTGTGACAGGTGGTATGTTTTACAACACACATTTTATGAATGAGCAAACATACCCTCCCCCACGCAGTGCCTCTGTTAACTTTATTTATGTATTCAAAATTTGATATAAAATCCACTGGCTCAAAATAGCTGAGTAGCTCATGTAGGTCGAAGGGAGGAGGAATAGAAGTGATTTTCCTAAGCAGGTATTTTCTGAGACATTGCAGATAAGATTCCTGCTTTAACAAGAATTTGTGAATGTTTCCCCACCCCCCAAAAGCAAATTCTATATTCTTATGGGAGCAATTTAGTTTCCATATATAGTTGGAAGTCTTGACACTCCCCTCCTTCTTTGTATCACTGTTGTTTCAGATTCTGTAATTATGTTGGCAATGGTAGCAATTTTTCATACTGTGTTAGAATAAGCAGTGATCTGCCTCGGAGCTAAGCAAATTCAATACTAGAATAGATTGTTTCTCTGTTTGCAAGAGCAATCCCTCAGTCTCTGCAGGAACATTGAGGAAGATTTAAATTCCACTTTAAAAATAGAGCAAGTATCTATATCCTGGTTGTCTGCAGATTGCTAAACTGAAAGGGAAAATGTTCCCTGTAGAGTCTCCTTTAACAGTTAATGTTACAAGATTGCTAGCTTCTCAGTACCTTCTTAGTACTTTGTTCATAGGGCAGTGCCAGAAACACCTATTCCTGCCAAGTAAAGCTTCTAGTTAACTCAGATGTTACTAATCCAATTATCTGATTTATTCTTAAATATTCTTATTAAAGAACGGAGTAGAGTAGAGTAGAGTAGAGTAGAATAGAGTAAAGTAGAGTAGAGTAGAGTAGAGTAGAGTAGAGTAGAGTAGAGTAGAGTAGAGTAGAGTAGAGTAGAGCTGGAAGGAACGGAGGTCTTCTAGTCCAGGGCTTTTCAACCTTTTCACCCATTGTACCACTTTTAGGATATGGCTATATCCGAGTACCACCAGTCGCCTAGCAAGGTGTCAAAAACTTGATGACCCCCCCCCCTCCAAAAAAAGGAAAAAGTGATAAGGTACAGGTAGTCCTCGACTTACAACAGTTCGCTTAGTGACTCTTAGAAGTTACAATGGTACTGAAAAAAAGTGCCCCCCAAGCCACAGCCGAGCAAGATGCCTGCCTGCCCGCCCGGCGGCGCTCTTCATCCTGTCTGAGGTTTTCATTGTTGTGAGCATTTCTGTTGAGGATTGGCAGCGGGGGTGGGGTGGGGGGTGTTTGGTTTTTATTCCCCCCGTCTGCTGGGTGGTTGCAGCAGGTTTTGGTCACTTCACATGACCCTGGGACACTGTGACTGTCATAAATACGAATCAGTTGCCAAGCATCTGAATGTAAATCACAAGATCCTGGAGATGCTGCAACATTCCAACTGATCAGCGCTTCTTCTGGGCTCAGCAGAAGCACCAGGATCAGCGCCGAGCTCCAGCTGGAGCCTGGCGCTGATCCTGAGGCTTCTGCTGAGCCCTGACAGCCCTGCAGCTCCAGCCGTCTCTCGCTCAGGCTTGTGCGGTGCTACCACCGGTCCAGCTCATTCCCCTACCCCGCTACCCCTTTTCTAGGATGGTCGCGTACCACCTGCCAGGTGCCAATGTACCACAGGTGGTACCCGTGCCACTGGTTGAAAAGCCCTGTCCTAGTCTAGCCCCCTCCTCAAGCAGGAGAACCTACACCATCTCAGACAAGTGACAGTCTAGCCTGTTCTTAATGCTGCAGTAGTCTTGAACAATATAAAATCATCTCCCGTCGTTGGGACCATCAAATAGCCTGATGGAATGTGTCCTGCTCTATGTTAAAAGCAAACTTTCAAAAACTCATTACCGTTTCATTTGTTATTTCTGGGTGCCCCAGGTTTGTGGTTTGTTGCTTCTGATTTGGGTGGATGCCAGAAGAGGCGGCCACATTGGCTATCAAGCTTTGCTTTTCCTGAAAGAGATGGCTTCTGTGGGATGCCTGCCTTGACCTCTCTGGGGGGGGGGGGGAGCAGGATGCAGAAGAATGACTACTAACTGGGTCTTCTAGTGGGAGAGTACAACTTTGCTATCCTGGATTTTGGGGATGCTGCGGTTGACGGTGAAACCAGCATGGAGGTGCAACATTCCATTAGCACAGGAAGGAATCAAGTTGGCGTTTAAGAACTTGAGGGCTGAGTAAATGAATGAAATCCCGAGTATTGACAGCCTTGCCACTTTGAATGATCTCTGGGAGGCAGAGAGTTTTAATGAAATGATCTATTTCACTGGCTGTTGCTCAAGTCTGTGTATGTTTCCATTTCTGTATAGTGCTCATTTGTAATATTTCAAGCAAGTCCTTGGGCAGCTTATATATCCTAGTAAGGAATTAATAATTGAACTTAGTATCTCCAGGGGTCCCCAGTCCCTGGTTGGTGGACCAGCACCGATCCGCAGCATGCCAGCAACCGGGCCATGCAAACAAGTGAAGCCCCATCCGCAGGATGCACGCAGCATGCAAAACCCTGCCCCCTCCGGTCCATGGAAAAACCTTTCCACACGGAACCGATACCTGGTACCCAAAAGGTTGGGGGGGGTGCTGCTATATAGGATCAGCAATCGGCACTCAGATGAGCATAGATTAAATCCAAGATTAACATCAGACCAACAATCAAGTAAACAATACCCCAATCGAAGAACCACCAAACAAGCCAACGGTAAATAGCCTAACCAGAGGCCCCCAACCTTTTGGGCACCGGAGACCGGTGTTATGGAGAAAGATTTTTCCACAGACTGGAGGGGGCGTGGTTTCGTGTGCTGCCGGCATCCAGCAGATGGGACTTTGCTTATTTACACGGCCCGGTGCCGGTCCACAGACCGGCCTAACCAAAGAACCACCAAGACCACTCCTACCAACACTGACAGGCAAGCCACTAGAATATAAACTGAGAGCAAACCCCACTCTTTACTGTCACTGATGATGTTATTTAGTTTGGCTAATGAAAAGTCTGCAAGAAAACCAAGCTCAGAGACCACCAAGGACCCCTCACCATATAGGACCAGAAGTACTTTCACTAAGTTTTAAGCCAATAATAACATTAAACTATTTAGTCTTAAGTCAAGAATAACATCCAGCTGTTAATACTAGTCTTTATTTGTTCTTCTCTGTCTTTGCTTTATAGAATGTGATCAGTGAAGGCTATGCAGCTACTCAACTGATAAACCAGCTTCACGATATCATTGTTGACAAAGAAGACCTCAGTGACAAGCAAAAATCTGTAATTATAGAGAAATTTGCTGTAAGTCTTAAGTACTTGCATTTGAGCTCTATCAGAGGCTAATGAAGTATGTGGTTAAAACTGAACATGAAACATTAAGGACTTGTGGGAAGTTGTACTCTAGAAGTCATACGCGGTAAGACAGAGATGGGTGGTTTCTAAATATATAAATAAAAGTAAATAAAGAGAATCATAAAGTATCAGTATGATAGTTTGGTATATGTGATGCTGTTTGCTTTTATGACAATAGATAATAGTTGGGATATGCTAGGGGGACGCAAGGAAAACAGTTTCACAAATTGTTTCGTGGTGGTGGTTGCAACTTCGCCAACTTTCCTGTGCTACTTCATAGTAACAAGAACAAAAAATATTGAGAAGTCTACGATGTAGCTATCTATGCATTTATGTGTTTGCTTGTTTCCTCTAATTTAGACAAGTGTTCAATATAAGCTTAATATTCTTGCCATAGAGACTCAGGAAAGGTGAAATGAAAACAATGGTAGGTAGTTCAGCCATCTCCAGGTGGATGTCTCCAGGTGGGACAACTCACTTCAGCCAACTCGCCACGGCCAATTCACTGTGGCCAACTCGCTGTGGGACAACTTGCCATGGGACAATTTGCTGCCGGCCAATTCAACAGTTCAATTTAATTATTTAAAATAATTCACATTTTGTTTCATACCTCTTTTGCAGTCTTTTCTTTAATGATTCTGTTCGACTACTTCTTCTATATTAGTGTAACTCTTGTCCTGCGGCGAGTTGCCCATGGTGAATTGGCCGCAGCAAGTTGGCTGCGGCGAGATGTCGTACACCCTTCCATGTTAGCTGGAGGTTTTAGTAGGCATAACCTAACTAAATCTAGAGGGTACAGGTTGGTAAAGACTGGGCCAGCAGATTTTTCTGTACTGGCAACTAGAAGAACAATTGCCTGAAAAATGGCTAAAAAGTTTCAGTAGTTTTAAAATTTGGTATGCAGTTTTAGTAAACTGTTCTGCTGATACGTTCATTGTTTTGGTTCTATTTTACATATTGTAATAAAATAGAGACTTACTTTATGTCTCTGTATGTGCACAGGTAGTCCTTGCTTAACAGTTATAATTGGGACCAAACTCTGTAGTTAAGCAATGTGGTTGTAAATCGAAAAACCAAGTGAGCACTCCTCTGAGTGATATTTCCAGTGCCATAGTTAAGGATTGATGAATCATTAAGCAAGGACCTCGGATAACCACGACTTCCTGCCAGGTTCCCCATTGACTGTGCTTGTGGGAAATGGGCAGAGAAAGTTGCATCTAATGAACACATGACTACAGGACACTGCAACGTTGTAAGCATGAGGTCCAGTCATAACTACATGTTGAGTGCTGATACAAGGTTGCTGAATGAGTAGTTGTTAAACAAGGACCACCTGTATATTAATGAATACTAGACAGGCAGTTTAATGTCATTCTCCTCTAGAATAAAAAAAGTTTGATGCATATTTTACAAGGGAAGAGGAAATATATCTGCTAAACATTCTGCTTTATGCCCACCAAGCATGGTTGTTACCAAACTTGGCAAATCTTGAGTATTATGTTTTGTTTTGCAGGAAACGGACAAGTGCTTGGCAGATGGTTCTGATGAGTTCTTGCAGTTGATCAGCATCTGTGCAGTCATGATGCAGCAGCTAATTCAGAATAGCTAACTGTAGGGGACAAGTGGCCTTTTGATGGCTATAGTAAACCTTTTCTCTGTAGTTTTGGCACACAGTTTGCAAACTGTTCTGTAAATATAGACATTGCTATAAACTTTCATCTTGTCGCTTTCATTATAACTTTTTTTTGTTCAGGTCTACTCTATAGACAAGCTACTGAGGGAAGCAAGAATCAAGGCTTCCTTTATTTCTGCTATTCATATAGTATACAAGCCATCTGGTGATCAGGTTGTTAGCGTAAAACAGGGCTCCCCAATCTATTTGCAACTGAGCTGTGTGAGTGGGGGTCACTGGCGCTCACAGCCTCCTCCATCCTCCCCTCCTCCCACCAGGCCACCTACCCAGATTGGGGAACGCTGTATTAAAATAGAAGCTATGGTTAAGTTAAGAGATCATATTATTACAATAGAGAACCAGTTTGATATGGTGACTAAAGGCATTAGCCTAGAACAGTGAGGGCGAACCTTTTAGAGACCGAGTGCCCAAAGTGCAACCCAAAACCCACTTATGCATCGTTGAGTGCCAGGTGGGCGTGGTTGCAGTGGTAACGGCAGGCTGGGCAGGACTAAAAAGTTCAATCAATTCCAACTTTGCAACATCTTTTTTTCCCCAAATTGACTGATTGAACTGTTTTGTGGTTTTTTTGGACATGGCATCAGAGGCCTAAAGCAAAAAGGTTTTATAAAACCCAGCTGAAGGCTTAGAACTGGGGCGACAGCGCACGTGCCCACAGAGAGGGCTCTGAGTGCCGCCTCTGGCACCCGTGCCATAGGTTCACCACCACTGGCCTTCGCCACCACTGGCCTAGAAACAGGGAAACCATGAGTTCTAGTCCCACCTTAGGCACAAAGCCAGCTGAGTGACCTTGGGCCAGTCACACAAACTCAGCCCTAGGAAATGGCACACCACTTCTGATTTCTTCCCAGGAAAATTGTTAAGGACTTGTCCAGGTACTTACCAGGAGTCAATACTGACTGAAAAGCACACACACAAACATGTAATTGGACACAACGGGTATATGGCTTTAGATTAGGGCAGTTCTCAAACATTTTTGCCACAGGCCACCTTTACATTATTAAAATGATGGTTTATGTGGATTATAAGCACCAGCTGAGCGCTACTCATCTTCAAGACATCTCTTCACATTTTATTTCTGCGAAAACTCATGGGGCTAAACACATCTGGGCTTTGTCTGCACACACTCGTAATTGCTTGTTACTAGTGTTAAATGCCATTTTCAGTACTTCTCCTGAACTGTTGTATTTCATCTTCCAAGTTTCGTTTATTTACGTTTGTAGTAGTTGCCCATTTTAAAACTCAAAAATCAATACATACTGGGCTAAACCAAAGAAAAAAATAGAACAAAAAAACATACTGGGACCACTCATCTCTGATGTAACCCATCTCACACTCCTTCCACTATGACCTCACCCTATTCCAGGACAAAAGGGTAGGGCCTGTTGAAACTTCAAAAGATATTCTAAAGCAGTGTTTCTCAACCTTGACAATTTTAAGGCACGTGGACTTCAACTCCCAGAATTCCACAGCCAGCATTGCTGGCTGTGGAATTCTGGGAGTTGAAGTCCACATGCCTTAAAATTGTCAAGGTTGAGAAACACTGTTCTAAAGGGTGGACCTTGCAATTGGAAAGGCATGCTTCTCATCATTTGAAATGTAGGTTAACAATTTTAAAATTTTTAGTCAGCTTTAATTTTCAAATAAACTACTAAGCACCAAATACAATTTTATAGCCAATAGCATTTCAGCAGGTTTAAAATATCCTTCATTAGAATGTAGTGATAAAATACAAAGGAACAGCAAGAAATTAGGAAGAACAGCGAAACGAGATTGGCAACCTGACTGATAGTTTGAACTTATAGCTCAAAGTGCTTCTGGGCTTCTGAAGATTGGAGATGCATTCCATGCATGGCAAACTTTTTGCATTAGCACAAGAGTAACAGTAGCCTTGGTCTTTTGAGCTTTCTCCAACTCAAATCAAAGTAACTTAATAATTTTTTAAGTGGAAAAAGCAGTCTCAGCTCTCCTGAGCATTCTTGAGTAAAAAGAAACAGAATAAACTTGTAGTTGAAGTGGTAAACAACCAGGGCACAATACCCAGAGACTGGTTTGTCTCATTACTCTACAGTGCTGATCAAAGAGCAGTTTGGTGTCAACTTGAACAAGATCTTTGTTAGTAGATACTATCTAGATCAGGCATGTCAAATTTGCAACATCATGTGACGTGCAACGTATTGCGATTTTTCCCATTACTGGCAATGGGGGGTAGGTGCGGTTTCGGCGTGACACATCCGGCCCATTTGACATGCCTGATCTAGATGACCCTATGTGCTAATACAACTGAAGCATGGTGAATTCTTTCAACGTTAGGTATACAGGGTAGTCCTTGACTGATGACACCTGATCACTTAGTGCCTGATCAAAGTTACCTATTACCTGGGGTTTTGATGTCATGACGACTACCCTCCCCCATGCCTGCATTTACAACTATTTATATACATCAAAATCAGTCAGCTGAGGACCGCTTAACCACTGGCATGACTTATGAACATAATTCTGGGCTCAGTAACAGTCATAAATCAAGGACTACCTGTACCACTAGCTCCACTAATCAGACAGAACACAAATCAATAATTTGCTACCATTATATTTGAATGTTGCACACTTGCAGATAACATACCAGGTGGTCTGTATGAAGATTGAAACAGAAACCCAGAACTGCATTGCCAATTTCCAAAAAGCATCCAATTCATCCAATGAAGTGAATATATAATATTTTATTGAACATTCAAACTTCATTAAGACATGTGCAATATGGCAATTTTAATGGGTTCTTAAACCCTAACTAAGACAATAGTAATGATTGCTTGCAGGGTTTAGCAACAGGGTCCAGATCACACGTAACACTAATTAAATACTTTATTCAATAAATACATACCAAACAAAAAAAGCATTTTTATGTTCTTATAAAAGTTTAGACATTTTGAAAGGCCTTTCCAATTTAGTCTAATATAGTATAACAACATACAATAAAGGTAGGTATGCTAGTTTAACATAATTGGCTGACTTTATACAGCACTTATATCTTTTAGTCCATAAGTAAATTATTAAATGATAAAGAACATCTAGCACTACCACTTCTACAGAACTAGGAAACAAATGTCTAATAAAGAAAAAATGTACAGACCCCATGACTTTCCACCCAACCCCAACAGTCTAAACCCAAAAAGAGGTTAGAAAGCCAAAGGCTCTCCCCCCCACAAAAGCTCACGACAAAACGTCGCTTTGCTTATCAAAAATCTGTATTTCTGATCCGTAATGAGCATTGAGACAAAGATTCAATGTATCCTCCAAGAAAGAAGCACAATGCACGTTGTGGATCGCCTGGTCAGCAACAGCGAGCACTGCATTCCAAAAACATCTCGGTCCCAGGGATTAAATGAGGTCAGCCACATTCATAGGCATTTCATCCACTGTAGTATTGTAGAAAGTCTCAATATCCCGAAGGATCCGCTTGTCTTCCTCAGTGACAAAGTTTATAGCCACACCTTTCCTGCCAAAACGACCCCCTCGACCAATCCTGCAAACAAAGCAAATACATCGAACATTACTCTAGTCCTTTTTGACAACACGACAAAACCTGTTTTGGGGGGGAGGGAGCCAGAAACTAGTATTGACACTCATTGCCAGATTAATGTTATTACAATCTCTTATGCTATTTTTGTAGGGCCGAGCATTTTAAAAGTAGCATAGCAAATATTGACTAATACTTTTGATTTATATATAAGAAAAGCTTCTCAGTCTTGGTGTAGACAAGGTATTACATTCAACGTGACTTCCAAATAATTTTTGCTGATCTCATTCCTTCCACCCCACCCCACCCCCATCATTCTGGAGAACTTTGGCAAAAAGTTCTCCCACACCATTTCTTCTGAACACGGACAGAGCTTGATGTCAGCCTCCAAATTACCAAGCTTGTTTTAAATCATAGAGACTATGATTCCAATTGTAGTTCTTAAAAGCCAAAAGGTTAATATTCTATTTTCAAAAGAGACAAACGTATTCATCAGTGGGAAAACTTATCACCATCTTGTCAAACAAACAACTTAAAAAATTACAGTACTGGGCACACAGTAGATCTACAGGTTGACAAACCCACAACTTCTGCTTCTACCTGGTCAAACCATTAAGAGCTTTTTAAGACAAACATAGCTCACAACAGTCATTACAAAAGAAAAGTATATAAATACCAACTCGCTCTTTATGCAAACAGTGTGCTGCTTACGAATCCACGTCCTAAATTACGTCGTCGTTTCTGAGCATCATCTCGTCATCAACTGGGCTAGCGACTCCTGTATTTTTTTGTATCAAGTAATAAGGTACAATTTACTTCATTTACGGACAAAGCCACTAAGATAGACAACAGGTTAGGGAGGTAAATTTAAAGTACTAGAAGACACCAGAGAAAGAATCCCACTGTAAGAGGAACCAAAGGAAGCAGTGGAGGCATTGGCACAAAGAAAGGTCCAATAAAGCAGTATTAAACTAACAACAACTTTATGAAAAGCAGACCTCTGAACATGTTTTTCCTAATCGCAATACACAATAGCAACTTCTTTAAAACATGTTTGCAAACTTCAAGCATCTAAGAACATTAATTTAGCAGTCTTTGATATCTTTGATAATTATCAAAAATTGAATAAACTTAAGTTTTCCCACTGTTTTGTTTCATTGGCTAACCAAGAAGCTCTGCCCCTCCCATCCTCATCACACTATGCGCGCGCGCACATACACACACGTTATATAATGCAAGAAAGCGAGGGAAGTTTGAAGATGTGAAGATTCGGAAGGGACTTCAGAATTGAAATTCAAAAATTCAACTCACCTGTGAATGTAGTTTTCACGATTGGTTGGCAGATCGTAATTTATAACCAGCGATACTTGCTGCACATCAATGCCACGAGCCTGCAAACAAAGGCAAAGCACTGAACAACGTACTTCAAGTCTGGAGGTCAAGGTATTTTATTTATTTATTTATTGTTTATATTTATATCCCGCCCTTCTCCTTGCGGACTCAGGGCGGCTAACAACCAGATAAAAATACAAAATACCAAAGCTACAGATTAAAACATGATTAAAAGACAAATATTAATAATTGGTCTAAGTAATTTAAAATTATTTTAAAACCCCCACTAAAAATTTTCCCCTAGGCCAGTCCCGCAAGCTGGAATAACCATGTCTCAAGGGCGCGGCGGAAGGAAGGGAGATCAGGGATGACCCTGATCTCTGGGGGCAGTTCATTCCAGAGGGTGGGAGCTCCCACAGAGAAGGCCCTCCCCCTTGGGGTCGCCAGCCGGCACTGTCTGGCCNNCTGGTCATCCAGTGTCAGCCGTGGATCCAGGAGGACACCCAGATTGCGTACCCTATCCGAGGGAGCCAGAGTTTCGCCCCCTATAGTCAGCGATGGAATCAGCTGACTATGCCGAGGCGCCGGTAGCCACAGCCACTCGGTCTTGGAAGGGTTGAGCCTGAGTCTGTTTCTCCCCATCCAGACCCTCACGGCCTCCAGATATCGGGTCATCACGTCAAGGGCATCATTGGGGTGGCCCGGGGTAGATATGTACAGCTGAGTATCATCAGCGTACTGATGGAAATCCACCCCAAAGCCACGGATGATCTCCCCCAGCGGCTTCACATAAATATTGAACAGAAGCGGAGAGAGGACCGACCCCTGTGGCACCCCACAAGTTATCTCAATTTTGCTGATGATAATATAGTAAGATACGGCAGTTACACAAGTCCATAGCATGGCATGGACTTGCTCTTCCCATAGCTTGGGAAACTCAGGTTACAATGACCCGCATCAAACAAATCAGTTAAGGTCAATGACTATTGAAACTCACCAGCAAATCAGTAGTAATCAGGACACGGCTTGATCCTGACCTAAACTCTCTCATGATAACATCTCGCTCCTTCTGATCCATGTCACCATGCTGTAGAGGTTTTTATAATATAAAGGGAGTTAATGTTAACCAGCTCTTATTGCTTCACGTTTTGCTAGTCAATTAAAAAAATGCAGGCATTTCAAATAGGCTAGTGTTTTTTTACTGTATTACATTGTGGACTAGACCAAAGAAACTGAGGAGGTAGGACAGTCAGTAGACACAAGCATAATCCAGTGATTTTTATTTCTATGAGAAGCAGGTGTTCACTCACTGGAGGAGGACCAATTCCTAAAACAAATTAAGGATCTACTGATGAAACAGCAACATGACTTCTGTTGTGTAAACGTTTAAATTCATGAAGTATGTTTGGAGTAGACTGAAGTACTTTCTCAGGCCTTTTGATACCACCCTTGATACAACTCAGGGAACTGGAATAAGGAGCATTTCCCCATATTGTGCATTTGAACATATCATAGAACCTATCTTCAGATAAATTCTTACCAGAGCAGAAACAGTGAAGTCTCTTGCGTGCATTTTCTCTGTAAGCCAATCTACTTTCCTTCTTGTGTTGAGGAAAATAACAGCCTGGGTAATAGTCAAGGTTTCATATAAATCACACAGGGTATCCAGCTTCCATTCCTGTGAAATTAAGGAAGGGATCATGAGCACATAAAAGGACAGTGCAAAATAAAACTTTTTTTAAAAAATAAAGTTTTATTGATTTTTATAATTAATCAAAAATAAAACTCTTAAGCACTACCTAGTGTTGCACCAAGTCTCCAGACTAGGACACTGGACATTAAGAAAGAGGTCCACCCAAGTCATAATCGATTCAGTGCATTTCTCTTCTTCCTGTGTGTACCGTGCTAGCATTACCACAAAAGCCAAGGGAATACCTCAACTTGTGCAGTTTTAGCATAGTGCTTGTAACAAGAAGTCTAACTAGCTTCAAACTAGTCCATTATCTTCCTTACCTCTCTTTCCACATTAATGTAGAATTGCTTGATACCCTCAAGGGTCAATTCTTCTTTCTTCACTAGAATACGAATAGGGTCTCTCATGAACTTTTTGGTCACTTCTAATACATCCATTGGCATAGTTGCAGAAAGCAACACAACCTGGTTCAAGAAAATTAACGGATTAGTCTGCTCAAAGTGAGAGGCGAATGTATGAAACCAAGCGTCTTTGTCTGCTATAGAATCGAAACAGACAAAGATAGTATAGAGACAATTTTGTTTTATGCAGGGGGAACGACAACACAGCACTTCACAGCTACATTGTAACTTTACCTGCATTATTACAGCAGCCAATTTTGTGACTGCATCAAGTTCGACTTTACCTGAATGTTTGTGCTTAACTTCTGAAAAATTTCATAGATCTGATCCTTAAACCCCCGGCTTAACATTTCATCTGCTTCATCTAAGACAAACATTTTGATCCATTTAGGTGCTACAAAGAAAAAAAAAACCAGACCCCAATTAAGTATTCTTATAGTACTTTGCGTTATTGAGATTTTACCTATGCTTAAAAGTAACAAGAAATCACAAATGTTTAAACCAATGCCTACTTTGATATAACCTATAGAGATTTTAAATCAGCATTGAATTACTTACACAGATAGCGCCTATTTAACATATCAAATACACGTCCAGGAGTTCCCACCACAATGTGGGGAGCCTCTGCTTGGAGCTTCTGCATCTCATTGCGAACATTTGTGCCACCAATGCAAGCATGGCAAGTGGCGCCCATATAATCTCCAAGTGCCAAAATAACTTTCTGGATCTGAAACGACATAAATCTCAATTAGAATTTTAGTTCTCCGGGTAGGTGGGTTCTCTACTGTGTTTCCATTGGTCAGTTTCACAATGGGTTCATAATAAAAAAAAACAACTGACAGGCACATGTCTCATATTTGATGAGCAATCTCAGTTTGAAAACCTTTCTCTACTTACAAATACCATATTTGTAGAAAATGAACTGAAACTGCATGAAAAGGAAATTTTGGCTTTCTAAAATACAGCTAACAGCTAGCCAAGAACCATAGGCTGCTTATGACACCATGCCAGAAAGAGTTATCAGGCACTATAGTCAAGCAGAATCAATGTAATCTTTCAGAATTATCAGTTAAATAAGCAAGATAAAACTAATCTTTCTTAGATGATAAAAACACTAGCAGAGGTCTGCAAAATATTTAAATCTGAAATAATTCAAGTTCAAAAACAGACCCCTCAAATATCACTAAAAATGTTCTCAACTTAAGAGCTCTCCCAAAATTGTTCTGGACATTATTGCTGAACACCTCCAATAAGTTCAGGATAGCTGTTCTGAACTTGGAACAGCATGTGGAAACTTGAAATGTTCTGTACGTTCTAAAAATCAGAAATATATAACAACATGCAGCTTACATGATCAAAAAAGCCATTTACTGCTAAAAATAACTTTGGCCTTCTAAGGTGAATAGATGTCTGAGATGTCTAACAGAGCCGTTTTTCTAAGCTACTTGTGGTTATTCTCTGCATGAACATTTTTTACATTTTCCCCTCACCAACAAATACATAACACAAGATTGCTGTAAAATTGGCTTTCAATTTCATCAAAATCAAACTTATGTGCACCAGAATATAGCATTTAGAGTCAGTTTGGCCTAGTGGTTAAGGAACTAGGCTAGAAAAAGATAGTGATTTCAAGTCCTGGTTCAGCCACAAATCCAGCTGGGTCAGTTACTCTCAGTCCAGCTCACCTCACATGGCTGTTGTTGTGGGGAAAATAGGAAAAGGAAAGTGTGTTGGTTATGTTCACTGCTGAGTTATTTGTAAAAATGACAAAGGCTGAAAAATAAATTTAATAAAATTTTAAGTATAGCTCTGCAAAAATGCAGTTCAAAATCGATAAGAGGTCAAGAGACTGGCACACAGTACAATTTGCATTCATATAGAGAAAAACTGATTACATGCACACAGGCATTTTCATGTTGCAGAACTACATGCATTCTAAGAGTACTTTTCCTCAGAGAATTTGTTTGCATTTTGTATCATTTTACCAATTTTCACTTAAGCTCCAGCAGTTAATACTGCACTTCATTCCATTAACTGCTGCAGTCACATCTGATCTCTTAAGACTTTTTCCATATTTATTAATCCAAAGGCAATGTGGTCGTTGTAAACTTGCAAGAAATTCTGCCTCAATTATGACACTTGAAACCTATGCAACATGTAAGCAGCTTTTTAAACTACATTATCAATACCTGTTGAGCCAATTCTCTGGTGGGGGCCAATACTAGTGCTTGGGTCTCCTTGAGATCAATCTCCAACTGTTGCAGGATTGAAATAGCAAATGTGGCTGTCTTGCCAGTACCTGACTGAGCTTGAGCAATCACATCATACCCTAAAAAGAGGATAGATATTTACTGCTCTCACACAACATATTAAGGATGCAATTTAACTGTACAGTTCCTTTTCAAGTGATCAGAGTTACGACTTTAAGTCTCCATTTTAGGTCAGTCCCGAAAGATGGTATACCATCATCTCACTTCGCAAGGAAATAGGAATTGTATTTCACTTCAGACCAAAACTTTTGTGTCTGCTAGTAAACAAATTCTTCACTGTGGCATACCTTTAATACATGGAATAATAGCACGTTGCTGGATAGCTGAAGGCTTCTCAAAACCATAGGCATAAATTCCTCTCAGAAGGGATTCTTTTAAATTCATGTCATCAAAATTGTCAACAATTTCATTCCAATTGCTCTGCAAGAAAAAGTAAAATTTAATATGCTTCATCATGTTTCTGCACATGCTTGTAAAAAAAAACTTATCAGTAACATACTAACCTCAATGATGCCATCAGGATCCATTCCTTCTGGGCCATGGTCTCTATCAGATAAAAGAAGCATATACTGTTAACCAAATTTAAGGTTTTTTTTAATTATTATTGAAATAACATATCTGAAGGCTATCAAATATGCAGTAATTATTCCAAAGACCATATCTAATGAACAGTGTATTGCTTTAGTATTCTAACGTTACATATATCAAATATACGTAATGGTAAATACCATTAAAAAATCCTGAAAAATAAATAGTCCAACGCCAAGAACTTTTATTGCATTTCTTCCTAATCTAGTTGTAGTGCTAGTACATTACAGGTAGTCCTTGACTTACAACCATTCATTTAGCGATCACTCAAAGTTACAACAGCACTGAAGAAAATGACTTATGAGACTTTTTCATACTTGCACTGTTTCTGTGGTCACATGGACAAAATTCAAACACATGGCAGATGGCTCCTAGATAAGACACTTGCAGTGTCTTGGGATCACATGATCATCTTGTGTGACCTTCCGACAGGTGAAGTCAATGGGGAAACCCGATTCACTTAACAACTGCATTACTAACTGCAGTGATTCACTTAACCACCATGGCAAGAAAGGTCATAAAGAGGGGCAAAACTCACAACTGATTTGCATAGCAATGGAAATTTTAGGCTCAATTGTTGAGGACCACCTGAAGTATTTTGCTTGCAATGTGCACAATTGGGAAAAATGGGGGGACGGGGACGCAGGAATGCATAGACTTCTCAAAATGTGGTCCTCAACTTCAGATGGTTCGTTTAGTGACCATCTAACATTACCATGGCATCGAAGTGACTTGACCGTTTTTTCACACCATTGCAGCCTCATGGTCACATGATCAAAATTCAGATACTTAGCAACTGATTTATGACTGCAGTGTTCCTGGATCATGTGATCACCTTTTGCAACCTTCTGCCAAGCAAAATGAATGGAGAAGCCAGATTCACTTAAAATGTTATGAACAACTGCCAGGATTCACTTGAGAAAGGTCGTAAAATGGGGCAAAACTGAGCAACAAAAATTTTGGGCTCAGTTGTAGTCGTTAAGTCAAGGCCTAGCTGTATATATATCTCCTCTAAAGCCTTCAGACTGTATTTAATTTATGGACTACCTGTCCAGGTCCCTTCTAGAGTACCTTTTCTACCTTATTTATCCTCAAAACTCTTGTGTTGTCTGTAGAGTAGGCCAGGATGAAAGACAGAACTGGCTCAGCAGGAACTTCATCTGGACTTCCCCATCCCCAATTCAACTGTTTATTAACTCTCTTATTGAATGTTATGAAAATCAGTCTGCATTTAAATATTTAAGCTTCAACCACCAAAGTGTGCACTTTGGAAGCCATCACTCATTTTTCTCTCATTTGAGAAAAAAAAGCTTTCGAATGTTCTGCATTGATCTCAGATGCCAATAGTAATACCCTGGGGGAAGCCCAAGTTCTAAATCAGTGTTTCTCAACCTTGACAATTTTAAGGCATGTGGACTTCAACTCCCAGAATTCCACAGCCAGCATTGCTGGCTGTGGAATTCTGGGAGTTGAAGTCCACATGCCTTAAAATTGTCAAGGTTGAGAAACACTGTTCTAAATACAGCAGGCCGCCAGAATTATGTATTATGGTTCTGCTTCTGCCATAATACTTTGCAGTGATCTATAAAATATTCGGCTGAATCTTGTGTTTTGCTCCCCAAAGTGTTAAATCCATTTTCTAATGCCTTTAAAATCTAATCCTAGAAAAGAATGCAACACTTTCCCCTATTTTACTGGTTTGTTTTTTTTTTAAAAAAAGCACCTCACCTAAGAAACGGCATGCCAATTTGCCTGCATGCGAGGCACTTATCCTTCAGTGTTTTCTTCGATTAACTCGGGAGACAGCAGGGCAGATCCTGCCCATTTAGGATTCCACGTGCAAGAGTGAATGTGTTTCCACGTGGAACCCCAAAATGACTTAAGGCCGTTACATGTGATCCTCTCTGCGCCCCTTAGCGAGTTCGTGGAATAAAGAAACCAGGCAACTGGGAAGACCAAGTAGTAGAGCAGCGTTTCTCAACCTTGACCATTTTAAGGCACGTGGACTTCAACTCCCAGAATTCCACAGCCAGCATCCTCTCAAAGCCCGCCGAACTCTCGCGAGAGCTCCACCCACGAACTCACGCAAGCCGAGCGCACGCCGGTGATGGACGAGGCTGCCGGCAAACCAACGGCCTTATCAGCCGCGCCCCTCCCTGTTCTCTCTTTCCCCCACCCATGAGCGAAAATGGACTCGCCCGAGCGGCTCCGCGCTAGCCGCTTGGGCGAGTCCATGTGGTCGCTCGAAGGGAGGGGCAACAGGCGAGCTGCTGCACGCTCGAGACCAACGGTCTGATTTTCCGTCACACACGCCCCCCCCCGCCCAGTTCCCGGCCAGGCCGCTTGAGGCACTGGTGAGGGAGAAGCCTCTTCGTATCCCAAGGGCAACGCGATCGCGCCGCGAGAAAGGGACCCTCCCCGCGGCGGCCTTGTTTAAGGGAGTGCGGCGGCGGCCGTCTCCAGGGGTCCCCCTTGTCGCCATCACACTACAGCCGGACAGCCCTCGCCCTGAACGAGCTTCCCCTCAGAAACCCTCCCGCCGTCTTCTCTCTTCGTCCGCGCCAGAATACCTGCTGTAATCCGCGGATCCACCTGACATGTTCCGAGTGCTGCCGCTCTCCTCAACTGAAAAGGCAGCGTCGCCGCGGCGCCCGCTTTATATAGCCCTCCCCCCTGGCCGGATCTACTTTTACTCCCCTCCTCCTCCTCCCTCCTCGCGGAGGAGTATAGGAAATTAATCGCAGGGGATCCCGTGCAGGTTCCCCCCCCCCACACACACATACACACCCTTCCTGTTAAGCGACACAACTCAGATCCGGGGAGGTGGTCGGGGAGAGAAAAAAAGAATGGAGGGTTCCAGGCGGGACCGCGAATGGCTGGCTCGGGCCGTAAAGGAACGGAGCCTGGGGGGGGGGGACTACTTTACGCCACGAGACGCGGAAGGATATTGCAGCAGTACAGTGGTGACGGGCTGCGTCCCGCTTTCCCTTCCCCCCCAACACCTCTGAACTCCCCCCCTCCCGCCTCGTAAACGGGGCTTACTCGGCCGCCCCTGCCTCGGCGAGGAAGCGGGGGGAGGGGGAGGGAATGAAAGATGGCGGCGGCTCCCCCTGCCTGAGGGGGATTCTGGGCGGCAGGGCAGAGGAGAGGGGCCCGGGGGGGGGGGAAACAGGATCTTTAGGTCTGGAAAGTGAGACAGCCCCCCCAAGGAAGGTCAGCGGGGGGGGGGAATTAAAGATTTTGCTTTCTCGGAGCCCGCCGAGCCCTTAATGCAGTGTTTCTCAACCTTGACAATTTTAAGGCACGTGGACTTCAACTCCCAGAATTCCACAGCCAGCAATGCTGGCTGTGGAATTCTGGGAGTTGAAGTCCACGTGCCTTAAAATTGTCAAGGTTGAGAAACACTGCCTTAATGAGTGAATCTTGGTGGTTACCGGCGGGGTGTGTCTTTTTCCTCAAGGGGGGGGGCTCGTCGGAGGGACTTATTTGAGAGATGAGAGTCAACCTGTGGGGCAGAAATGGAAGAAGGAGAGGGGCAGCAAGAAGAGGAAGAGATGGGGCTCTTTCTCTCCCCCCCCCACAGTTCCTTTCAAGATCTGTGGGATTATGCCATGGGAGGGGGGGCGTCCGGCCTAGCACGGGAGCCTGGGGGGGGGGGGAAGTTGGGGTTTGTCCTGTGGGAAGTTAGCCCAGAGAAGGAAATATTAAAAAAGGCAGAAAGAAAGATATTGTTCACCAAAAGGATTTTTAAAAGCATTTTTTGAAAAGCCGAAACCAAACCTGGCCTCTAGAGAAACGGGTTTCGTCATCGATCAGAATATGTATACGTCTACACCTTGGTAGTCCTTCAAACCTCGGTCCCTAGAGTTCTGTTTTCTTCGAGAATTCTCAGTAATCGGGGTAGTGGACCCTTCGTCCTATACTATTACCCTAATTTGGTGTCTATAGTTCCGGATCTTTTTGTGAGTCTTTCTCGGAGTTTCAAGTTGCCACAGGAACAGGAAACTACTCCAAGCAGGGCTGGAGGGGGGTATAAAAGCCCTTCTACCCATGTGCTCTGGCTCTTTCTTCTCCTCTGCTGCTTCTTGCAAGGACCATCTTTCTTCTGCAATAAACTGTAACCTTCTGCCCAAAGCAGTCGCCATGTTTGCTTATTTATTCCCGGCTTGGATGAACCAGGATGAAGACTTACTTCTAACAGTCCTTAACATTCCCCTGCATTTCTCCTCCAATTTAGGATGCGCTTGGAGGGCGCGGAATTGGGGAAGGGACCGAGTGCTCCAGACTGAGGAGATCTCGTCCGCCGCCTCTTCCCTAAGATTGAATTCGGCCCAGGCTGAGGGGCGAAATGGCTTGTTGTTGAATGGGGAAAAGCACCTGGCTGATGGGCAGCGAGCCTTTGGGAATAATCAGATGGGTTGATTATTTGGTTGTCGGACCAGGCCGCCAGAAGTTGGGGGTGACAGAAACGAGGAAGGCCGAGAGAAACCAGGGACCCCGGGGGTCGCTTGGGAGGAGGAAGGAGGAAGAAGAGGCAAGAAGCTGGCAAATGGATGGAAAGAAATAGGGGGAAAGAAGGGGTGCAGGGGAAAGGAAAGGAATCTAAGGCAAAGGGAAC